TCTTACATAGGTCACAGAGTTTAAGTCATCTTATTAGCCTAGAAAATCCCCACTCTGTGAGGTGGTGTTGTGGTGTAGCAGATTCAGCCCCCACTTGCAACACTGGCATCCCCCATGGGTGCTGGTTCAACTCCCGGCTGCTTCACTTTTGATATGGCTCGCTGCTAATATGCCTGGAAAAGCAGTGAACTTAGCCCAAGTCCTTGGGCCCCTGTACCCACGCAAGAGACCCAAATGAAGCTCCTGGCTCCTGCCGTGGGCCTGGCCCAGTCCCAGCCATTGCAGAACTGCCTTTCAAATAAATAAAAAAAGAAAATCTCCACTCTATATAAACTTATGCCTATGGTGTTAAGTATATAAAACATATGTATACATATATGTATGTATCATGCTGGTGCTGTAGCACAGTGGATTAAGCCTCACTTGTGATGCCAGTATCCCATACTTAAGTGCTGGTTTGAATTCCAGCTGCTCAATCCTGATCCAGCTTCCAGCTTGCATCTGAGAAGGCAGCAGCAGATGCCCCAAGTGCTTGGGCATCTACCACCAGTGTGAGATCACCTAGGTGGGGTTTGGCTTCCACGGTCCTGGCTTCCACTTGTCCCAGGCGAGCCTGTTGGGGGAATTTGGGGAGTGAACCAGCTGATGGGAAGAGCTCTGTCTCTGTCATTCTACCAAATAACTTTAAAAAAAAAAAAAAAAAAAAAGACTTACTTATTTGGAAGTCAGAGTCACAGAAAGGGGGAAGACACACATCTTTCATATGCTCCTTCACTCTTCAGGTGGCTGCAATGGCCAGGGTTGGGCCAGGCTGAAGCCAGGAGCTTCATCCCTCACGCATGGCAAGGGCCCAAACACTTAGGCTGTCTTCCACCGCCTTTTCCCTGCCATTAGCAGGGAGCTGGATTGGAAGTGCAGCAGCTGGGACTCAAACCAGTGCCTTTACGGGATGCCATCAGGTAAAGGAGCTAACTTTACCCGCTGCCCCACAACACCAGTCCCAAGTAAATTACTCTTAAAAAAAAAAAACCAAAATTTACGGACCTAAAAACTGAAGTTTAAACATGGTTAAATGACATCAATATTCTTAAGCAATATGGGTATAGTTCAGGAATAAAAATTATTCTAAAATTCACGTACCCAACATACTATATGTGCATTATAAAGCACATACAAAGTTTAGATGTTCTAACATGCGCACATTATTAAGGTGTGCATTTGATATTTTTAAAATTTTTTTGAGAGGTGGAAGCTTAGCATACTATCCTACAGGTGCCAGTCCCTAATGACACTTTAAAATTAAATGTGGGGGTTGGGGCCGGCGACGTGGCTCACTTGGTTAATCCTCCGCCTGCGGCACTGGCATCCCATATGGGCGCCGAGTTCTAGTTCTGGTTGCGTCTCTTCCAGTACAGCTCTCTGCTGTGGCCCGGAAGGGCAGTGGAGGATGGCCCAAGTGCTTGGGCCCTGCGCCCGCATGAGAAACCAGGAGGAAGCACCTGCCTCCTGGCTTCAGATCGGCACAGCACGCTGGCTGTGGCAGCCACTTGGGGGGTGAAGCAACGGAAGGAAGACCTTTCTAACTCTGCCTGTCATATTAAAAAAAAAATTAAATGTGGGGGTTAATGATGTTGTATAGCGGGTAAAGCCTCTGCCTGCAGTGCCAGCATCCCATATGGAAGCCAGTTCAAATCCCGGCTGCTCCACTTCCCATCCAGCTCTCTGCTATGGCCTGGGAAAGCAGAAAATGGCCCAAGTCCTTGAGACGCCGCACTCGTGTGAGAGATCAGGAAGAAGCTCCTGGCTCCTGGCTTTGCATCGGCCCAGCTCTGGCCGTTGTGGCCATTTGAGGAGGGAACCAACGATGGAAGGCCTCTCTTTCTCTGCTTCTCTCTATAACTCTCATAAACAAACAAACCTTAAAAAAAAAAAAAAAACACACACACACACACACACCTAAATGTGAATCCTGTCATCTGTGGAACGGGAGGACACATTAAGTAAAATAAGCCAGAAACAGAAAGACAAACTCTGCATGGCCTCACTTAGGAAGCTAAAAACTTGGGATTTCCGGCCGGCGCTCACTAGGCTAATCCTCCGCCTTGCGGCACCGGCACACCGGGTTCTAGTCCCGGTCGGGGCGCCGGATTCTGTCCCGGTTGCCCCTCTTCCAGGCCAGCTCTCTGCTATGGCCCGGGAGTGCAGTGGAGGATGGCCCAAGTGCTTGGGCCCTGCACCCCATGGGAGACCAGGAGAAGCACCTGGCTCCTGGCTTTGGATCAGCACGGTGCGCCGGCCGCAGTGCGCCAGCCGTGGCGGCCATTGGAGGGTGAACCAACGGCAAAGGAAGACCTTTCTCTCTGTCTCTCTCTGTCCTCTCTGCCTGTCAAAAAAAAAAAAAACTTGGGATTTCCTAGAAGCAGAGAACAGAACAATGGTCACTACAGGTTGGAGTGAGGAGGAACAGAGGGATGCTGGACTACTGGTATCACATTGGAGGAATAAAGTTCTGTTCTACTGCATGTAGTTCACAAGTTTGTAATGTATTTTAGAAAGCACTAGGAGAGGAGTCTAAAGGTTCCTAAGACAAATGATATTTAAGGAAATGGAAGTGCTGATTACACTGATGCACTCACTACACATTATATACATGTACTGATCACAATCCATAAATGCATATAATTATGCTGTCAACTAAACTACATAAACACAATATTCCTGTTAAGTTTTCCTTTATATTAAGTGAATGGATTCTTTATTCTGTTACTTTCTTTTAAAGTTAATCTAAGACTAGAAATCACTGACTCAAGAAGATATATCTACACAAAAATTAATTCACCAAATTGAACTATAAAACTTCAATACAAATAAACATGCGTAAGCCCTAAATTTAATTTTTAAAGCTAACAAAGGAAGGGGTGCTTGTAATTTATTGAACTTCAACACTTTATACTTATTAAAATATTAAATGGTTCTAGACATGAATATAAACCTGGAAAAATCTGAATGGGTAAAAAGCTCCCCCACCCCCCATTTGTAAAGTGCATTAACGGCAGCCATAAATAAAATGCTGAAGCCAAATGTACATTAAAGGCATCCTTGTGAACACTGCAGACAACACCGTGTACATCCTCCAACACTGAAGCAAGAATGACAGGATCTTGAATCACGCATGTCAACTTAATAGATTGCTAAGAGGTTGTCTCCAACATGTATGGAGATTGGAGGGCAACAGGTGGTTTTGGCAACGAGGGCCAAAATGGATCATAAAGGCCTACCTGAAGCCTAACTCTTTGTTAGTACTACTAACTCTTTGTTAGTAGAATACTCTACTTCTGTTTCTATTATGGGATGGGATATTTCATTGTTGTTTTTCATTGATGTGAAATATATAACAAAATCTGCAAATCATGGGAAAGATTCACTTTTTTGCTGTTTGGCAAAAAAAACAATAAACCTAAGAAAGCACTACCTGATGGATGACTTCGGTTAAAATAACTAGCATTACATTTCTTTCAAATGCTCTTCTAATTCATCTGAAAAATTTGGTATCATGCGTAAGTTTTAGGAGAAAACAGCATTTCAGCTTTATATTTTAAATAATGTCAATTATGCATGTTTATTTGTAACAATAAAACTTCCCATAAGTGAAACATGTTACAGTTACCTATAAACATTCATTTTCTGCTATTTACAATTTGAATTATGGAATGTTTGTATATTGCAACCGAGTTGTAGAAAAGCCACACAAACATTATAAATCAGAAGCCCAATCCTTTACAAATATGAAATCACTTTCATTGGGTTTTCAAATTGTCAAGTAAAAATAGGATGAGGTCAGCAATACTCAGGATGAGGCACTTTAACAATTACTCAAACAGGTTAAGTGTACAAAATTATAAAACAGAACCCTCCATGTTAGCCTTATCTTTAATTTCAGGCGTGATTAATCTGAGATGGTCTGTATAAGGAGTGATAGCAACTTTTATTTCTTGCCCTTCTACCTCCAGTTGACCCAAGGCAACAAAACTGCGAAGAACATGACATAAACATCACCGCAGACCAGTTATGTGCTCACATAATAATGAACTACACATTACCTAATGACATTTGGGTTTCAGAAGGTGACTATTTCACTAAAACTTCCACATGATTTTTTTCATAAACATGTATAATGAATACATTGGTCTCCCAAAAGCAAAATTCCTAGACAAGAATGCTCTCAGATGTATTAACTGAATCACAAGTTACACAGTGTGATGTACTTTTAAAATACTGAATTTAAAAATTACATGTAAAGATTAAATTTATGAAGACTTTCTAAATTACAATTTTAAAATTTAAAAAAGGAGTAAAGAAAACAGATGTTTTGTTTTGATAGCCTTTTATGAAAGAACTTTTAAACACAGATATCTGGCAAGCTATCTTCAAACTTAAATCATGATCTCTGTGTATTTACACTGCATGGTTGGGTATTTCAAATAATAAACTCATGATTAACAACAATAATTCCTACTGTTTCATGAATTCATTGTATTATACTCTTCCCAGTTTTCTGATTTCACATTCCTATTAATAAAGAAAATGGCTGATTCAAATTTTAAAGTTTATCCAGAAGGAATTAAAAACCTGGTATAAGAAAGAATTTATGAACCCATTAACTAAATTGTTTCAGGTAAGACTAATTAGAGCTCATCAAGCCTGTTTACTTCTTGTTGTTTATAACTTGAGGAATTTATATAGTCCAGATACTCAAATATCCTTTAATAAAAAAAATGCAGTTAGTACCCATTTGAACATAGCTATTCCAAGTCCCTTCATCAAAATTACTTGTTCTGTGGGTATGCACACACATTCCTTAACTTCCTAAGACAGTTTTGCTCCTCTAAAGAGAGAAACTGGCTTCCAATAAATATGTTACCAATCACCTAGCTCTCTTCTAAAATCAGGTGGCTCATTTTCAAATAGATGGAAAAAGTATTTATTTGAAATGACAAGAATTAAGTTTGGCAAAAGTAGTGACTTTTATTTACAATTGCATGTATCAAGATTACAATAGAAACACTAGTGATACCATCTGAACAAAAGCAATGATTTATTGGTAATGGTAATGAATGAAACATTGACAGTCTCTGGCGAGAATCAAGCAATTATCCAGGAGCTGTAGATCTGATTGCAATATGGTCTTCCAGTGTCTTTTGCACCTTAGTGGCTTTCTCCTTTTTTGCCAACTACCTAGAAAAACAAAAGTAACTTTATATGTACATCTTATTGATTTAAAAAATATGGATAGGGTTATTTTAAAAAATACTAATATGGTAATCATGTTTTTTAAACCTGGTATTAATTTTTATTCTTGAGTTTCTTTCGGCATGCAGTATACTTTCACTGTTGAAACAAACTACCATAACCCCTGCCCCCAGCCATAAGGAATTAAAAATAAAACACATGCAGTCTATTTTTGTATTCCCACGCTGTTTCAAGAAAAAGTAATGCAATTTTTCATAACAAAGTTGACAGTTTAGAGACATTAATAAAAAAGATGCTGCTATATGAGTAAAATATATTTGGCATTCTATTTTTAGGCAATTAGAAATCAAATGTCGATCACAAAATAATCTGGAATTAAGAGTATGCTAAATTCATGTCTTCATGCCCCAGATGACAGGTTTCCAGACTTTTTCTTCAATATGCAGACATGCAATGAAAACAGATTAAAAATGACTGATACTTCCTGGTTTCTTTAAGAAAAAAAAAAGGTTGCTATAAATGTATGATAAAAATTATAAAGACTAAATCCTGTTTCTGTCAATGATTAATATAATCCTCTATTAGAGGTTTTAAAAAATGTCCTGGTTACTATAAATGTGGCAGCCAAAAAATGTAAAGAATAAAGTTAAGGGAGCTGGTATTATGTCTCAGTGGATTAATCTGCTGCCTGCAACACCAGCATCCCATACGGTTGCCAGTTCAAATCCCAGCTGCTCCATTTCTGATCCGAGTTCCTGGGAAAGCAGCAGAAGACAGCCCAAGTGCTTGGGCCCCTGCCACCCAAGTAGTAGACCCAGATGAAGCTCCTCCGGCTTCTAGCTTCAGCACAGCCCAGCCCTGGCCATTGTGGACATCTGGAGAATGAACCAGTCGATGGAAACTCTCTCTTCTCTGTCACTACCTCTTTCTGTGTAACTCTGCCTATTAAATAAATAAATAAATCTTTTAAAAAAAAAGTATGAATAAACTTGATTCCTATTAACCTTTCTAGACAACAAATTCACTGTTCTAATCAAGTACTTCAAACCCAGAGTTTATTATTAAAGTATTCTCATAGCAGAAAGGTTTCTAAGGAAAACTCACTTGCAAGAATTTGTATGCTTTTATAGAAAAAGATTTATATATACATTTATAAATGTAATTTTCATATTTTAAATTGATTCTGTTCCAAATAGTAGTGTATACACCAGACACATCCTCATGAGGGCTATCAGTACATGTATGGAATAAAACAGAACATAGATGGGTCAATGCTATTCATGAGAGATTTAGAAGTTCTTTCCACTGAATGCCCAATAATACATTGCTAGAAACGTTTTCTTCCCCAATCTAAGAAAACCACTTTTATTACTTTACAGAAGTCATCTCTGGTTCAAAAAAACCATGTTAGAAATGCCCAGCAAGTCACAAGGGTGATAAAAAAATAAGTTTCATCAAAGAGGATGTGAACAAGAGTAAAAAAATTCAGGTATATGGAGCTACAAGAAGGAAGGGTAGGTGGCATAATGTGTATCACAAGTGAATTTAAGCCAATAAACAATAAACACTGAAAGCATTATTGATCATTATATTACTTAACACAAAACATGGAGCTATTAGATTAAGCAAAAGAAAACAGAAACAACTAATATTAAAAATTAAAATTTTAGCAGATGTGATACAACAGAAGACACAAATCTGCATACTGTTTCACAGGTTGATAACTCTCAACTTGCCAATATGTACTCTCTGTAAAAAAGAAGAAATTCAATATTCCAATATGGATTCTCATTCCAAACTTTTAGCTTTTTTACTCACTCTTAACTCTTTGTATTATACCTCAAATTAAAGCCTGTGTACATCAAAATTAGGTGCCAAAGATACTTATTGAGTAGAATCCATTAATCTTCTATGTTAACATTTTAACCCAGCCTATTAATCAGTCCGTAAGTCCTTCAATTGAACTTGAGCTTACTTGAGTAGGCAGAAGCAGAAGATACACCCACAATATATCATCAGAAAAACTTTGGGACTAATATTCCACTGTGAAAAGAAAAGTCACACCCTTCAACTAAAATCTAATCAATGCTTTAGATTAGCTCTAGTACAAAGGACTGTGATGAAATTGTTGTACTTGATTTCCAAAGTGATTCTGTAGATTCTAAAAAATAAACTTTAAAGTTTAGAATTAATTAAAATGTTATCCAATTAATTAAATCTGAAACTTGTTTCATTGCAGTTTGACTTTTCAAAATGTAATACAAAATTAAATATGCAAACAGTAGAAAGTTTAAAAAAATCTAGTGAGCAACATGGTATAGAAACAGAAAGCACCTAGTTGCCAGCCCAAAATAAAACAAAAGGCCAACTGAAAACGTAAGTAGGATGAGATTTGAAGAGAGAGGTGGTTGAGGAAATCTAGTAAAAAAAAAAAAAAAAAAAAGCTGATCCAGATGATAGAAGCTGTAGAAATCTCGCACCAGCAATGGTGACAACATGGGGAGGGTGAGAGCAGATAGGTGCTAGATGAGCAGAGAAGCAAGGAGGGGAGTAGAGTGAGACAAGGTCAATCTTTATATTACTTCATTTAAAAAAATCTTCTGGTTTAGTTCATTTGAGTTGGATTAAAAAAGCTGAAAAATAAACAAACAGAAATGTTACAAAAATAGCTGATATGGTGAATGGCCAGTTTAGAAAAGTCTGTTTGTATTATAGCAATAAAAATCTGCTCTGCCTTCTACATGCACCTCATTCCCTGAGAAGTAGAAGCCCCTACCATGTTCTCATTTTTATATACTTACAGTTTAATATTTTTGCATTAAAAGAAAGCAATCAATGTAAACAACCTATTTTAGCAAAGAAAACATCTACTTCAAATTAAGATGGCAAACTTCATGCTGCAACAGGAAGAATCCATTTCCAACAACAAAACACCAAAATATCCACTATCATCTGTGCATGATGCTTTTAAAGGCCAAAGAGAAGTGAAAAGCATAATCTACTCTTGCAAATCTTTGAAGTATTACCCTATATAATTGTAGGCACATGCAAGCTGGTCTAAGATTTCTATACATATCAAAGATTCATCAGCATTATCTTAGCTTCTGTCATTTTAGTGACAAGAGGAGGTCAGTGACATTCTGAAAACGAAAATGATCTAAAACAATTCATACAACATAAAAATGTAAACTGAAAATGATAAACAGTTAATCTATGGCGCAGAGGGTTAATGCCCTGACCTGAAGTGCTGGCATCTCATATGGGCTCCAGTTCGAGAACCAACTGCTGCACTTCCAATCCAGCTCTCTGCTGTGGCCTGAGAAAGCAGTAGAAGATGGCCCAAACGCTTGGGCCCCTGCACCCACATGGGAGACCCGGAAGAAGCTCCTGGCTCCTGGCTTCGGATTGGCACAGCTCCGGCCATTGTGGCCAATTGGGGAGTAAACCATCAGATGAAAGACCTCTTTCTCTCTCTCTGCCTCTCCTCTCTCTGTGTAACTCTGACTTTCAAATATATAAATAAATCTTTTTTAAAAAAAGTTATTCTATCTTATTGTTCATTAAACCTACTTATATAGTTCTCTTCACTACACAGATCATCAAAACTTTCTTCCCTATCCCTATAAAATATGTGCCAAGTCTATTTTATAATTTTAAATTCAAATTATATTATGTGTAATCCCTTTTAAATCCAGAAAAGAGAAAGAAGTGCCACATCTGACTTGTCCTTGAATGAATCCTGTACCTTCCTACTCTCAGGTCCAAGTCCCTATTTTTCCAATCTATTTAGGGTGTCCATCATTATCCAAATTCTACTATCAAAAAAACTTAGTTCAAGGTTCTCTTTCTCCACAAAGCATTCTCCTATCTTCCCAGTTATCATTGAGAAGAAGAATCTGGCACTCGGCTGGGAAAGTATAAGACTACTTTGTGGAGGAAGAGATCCTTGAATCAAGTTTTTATTAATTCTGATTACCTTTCCATATATTGGTACACTGTCTTATAAGATTATGAAGGCAATTCAAAAAGTTGGCAGAGGGGCCGGTATTGTAGCACAATAGGTTAAGTTAATGCCAGAATGCCAGCATCCCCTATGAGCACCGATACAAATCCCAGCTGCTCTTTTTCTGATCTAGCTCCTTGCTAATATTTCTGGGAAAGTAGCACAAAATGGCCCAAGTACTTGGACCTCTGCCACCTATGTGGGAAACCAGGATGGAATTTCTGGTTCCTGGCTTTGACCTTACCCACCCCTAGCCATTGTGGCCATTTGGGGGAATGAACCAGTAGATGAAGGATATCTACCCTGCCCCCTCCCCTCCCCACCCCTGGCACTCAGCCTTTCAAATAAATAAAAATGGAATTAAAAGTTGTTTATTTTAGTGCAAAAATTTTTTATATACACGTATAGTTTTTTCATAATACACATTTTCCATGAATAGTTTGAAGACCCAGATGTAAGCTTGTTGTAGACAAGAACTGTGGTTGCATTGGCATAGTCACCACAGGGATAAAAAGCATAATATTACATATGTATTATTTTTCACTAAAAACCAAACTGTTTTTAATAAGCAACTCTATAGGATGAAACTGGACAATTTCAGGTAAACATAACCCTTCCAATATTTGTATTTTTACCACACTGAAGTTGCTGTCTCATATAATATGAAAACAATGAGATTTTTGCTTACTTTTGAGAAATAACCTTACATGAATAACCATAAGCAGAAAAGATCTCCTTCAGAAATTATCATGAGGAAATGAAATGTAATATTTATATACATAAGAACACTATACAGCCAATGAGAAACCTGCACAGGGCTCCGTTAAAATATTCAATTATTTTCATAGCAGTTATCAAAGTATGGTCCAGCCTGGGATCCTTGAGACCCTATCAGGGAATCAGAGTCAAAACCAACCATTTTCATAATAATGCTAAATTGTTATTTGCCTTCTTAACTCTCATTCTGTCACAAGTACACAGTCACATTTTCCTGAGGCTACAAAACGTGTGGTTATTATAACCGAATGTAGAGTTGGCAAAAGAATGAGCGCGCTCTATTAGGATAGTGAAGAAATTCATAAAATTTTAAAGCAATGTGCTTCCTCTTATTGTTTTCTCTTTTTTGAAAACACTCAAATGTTTATTTATATTTATTTCATGCTTTATTTATTTATTTATTCGAAAGGCAGAGGCAAAGAGAAACAGAGATCTGCTACCTGCTGTTTCATTCTCCATTACCCACAACCTTTGTGGCTGGGTCAGGCTGCAGCTACGAGCCAGGAACTCAATCTGGTCTCCCACATGTGTGGAAGAGACCTAACTACTTGAGTCATCACCCCCTGGCTCCCAGGGTATTCAACAGCAGAAAGCTGGAATCAGGAGCAAAGCCAGGACTTGAACCCAGGTACTGTGGATGGGCATGCCAAGTGACAGCTTAACTGCTATATCAAACACCTGCCCCAAATAGGTATATTTTTTATTTAAAACTATTACTTAACATGTAAGGGGCTTTTCATCTGTAGATAAATATCTTCAAAATTTCACAATTTTAACTTCTAATATGGTAAATGTTAGACAAATATAGCCCATAAGAGTTTTTTAGGTCTTCAATCATCTATAATATTAAAGAAGGTACCCGAGACCCAAAAGTTTGAGAATGGCTGCTCCATAGTAATTTAAGTAAGATGAAAAGATAAATGAACACACAGCTGTTATAAAAATAAACACAAACACTCTTCAGCAAGAAAAGCCTAATATCTTTTCTATCAAAAACAGCCCAAAAGGATAGTCTGGCAGTCAAAAACAGAAAATATCAGGCTAGAAGGGGTGTGAAGGGAATGTTAAGAACAATGAGATGGAGTCAGATTTACTACTGCAAAGTAGAAAAACTGTAACTGAATGACAGGCTGGTAAGAAGATGGACAAGACAGATGGTTGGTTACTTAGAGAAAAAATGAAAAAATCAAGTAGCATAAGCAGAGGCAAAAAAGAGGCAAAAGACAGGAAACTTACTGGTATGAGGAAATAAAGGACTTACAGTTATAGATCTTACAGAAGACCTAAGTTAGTAACAAACTCTGCAAGGCACAGTTAAAGCCCAGTCCAATGGCATTTAGTTCAAATAGGCAAAGCAGAAAAGGAGGCAGCTGCTCACACACTGTCCCAGTAAAACACGCTGCGTATCACAAGAAAGTAGATGTTTAATCTCTGCTTCCTCTGACCTGTCATTACATATATGTCAAACATCTAGACATGGCCATCTAGATATGTAAGTATTTCTGCAGCTCCCAAAAGTTAATCATGTTATCAGACAGAAAGACCAATTCAAACATCTATTGTTAAGGTTCTCAATTTGGTAAAAACGACATACAATTTCATATGATTATACACTGTTCTGTAGCTCTAACTCACTAAACAGAAATCTGCTGACAGCCTCTTCCTCCAGGAACCCGGAACCCAGAGAAACTTCCCCTCTTGTAATTACCTGATATCTTACACTGCCACATGCAGCCATCAGAAACACTACGATGCCTACATCCCCTGCACTATCACATACTTGAACTGCACATAGCAACTTGCGTCCCAAACTGCAAAACTCTCCAGTAGCCTGTGGTTTCAGATTTAGGAGTCATTCTATGGAACCAATTAGATGTTCTAGCAATACACTGAAGGGATTGCTCTTCACTTCAGAGCATCCTTTGTACATCACAAATTCTTTGTAAACTTTAGGATTTTTTTTTTAAAGCAACAAATATACAAGGGGGAGCTTCAAAAAGTTTGTGGGAAAATGAAATTAAAAGATACTACAAATTTCCCACAAACTTTTTGAAGTCTACTTGTACATATTCAGAGATATACAAAAATACGAGGAAAGTTGCCCATTCATTTTAAATTTATTTGCTGAAATGTACTCTTCAGCACACAAACATGGTCTGGAAAATTAGCACTAACCAATGTATTAAAATTGAATCATCCTCTTTTAATAAAATTATTCAAGCTCTTTAAAATTTTTTTTGTCCAAAGCAATAATGATCTTAGTGTAAGTTCTTAAAATCTCTCTACTCTTACAAAAAAGATTTAGCTTACTCTTTTCCCATTATTCTTAACCACTTTTTATAATCAAACTATTATTTTCCCTCTTATTTAGATATTATTCATTAACCTTCACTTATCAGTTAAGACTTATCATTTTTCTTAGAAACTTAATTATCTAAAAATTACTGTACTCATTTTTTATAAAATTTCATGATATAGTACAATTTTAGATCTCTGATTTAAAAAAAATGTGGCAACTGAAATGTATGACATGATTCCCTTAAAATTATATTTTTATTGCCCTAAATATGATTTTAAAAAATTTTAAAAACTTACTCGCTTGAAATCATTCATATTTGTTGCTTGGACTGGAGTACCAATAAAAGTAAAATATGAAATTCTTGTTGTTTCTTCTTCACCTTGATTGGACTGAACAAATATCTATCAAAAACAGAAGAATTTTTACATTTATAATTATTCCTTGTTTAAATGTTCTTTAATTAATAATAAAAGTTTAAGTATAATCAATTTCCTTATACTATTAACAAAAATCTTCTGTTCTAAGAGGTAATCTAAACTGTGCAACATTTAGACTAGTACTGCCGCAGGATTATTAGTTCCACTGCTTGTCCTGCAGATCTCACTTTCTCCACAGATGTCATAGCAAGACACTCACATAAACAAATTCATGGTAATTTACTGTGATGGTACAGAGGAGTCATAATTATTTACAGAGAATGCGGAAAGAATGTGACACACATGATTACAATGGAACAGAGTGTTTTTCAAAGTTTTACTAAAGTCACAGTTTTTCAATGAGGAAAATTTCTTTTTGATAATCATGGATCCATTACATACACCAAAAAATTAAAAGATAAAATAGTATTGAAACTCAGCTTCTATAGCTATACTATGCCCTCTGTGCTTTTTAATCTTGACTCTTAATACATGTTTTAAAAATTCCCTTCAGCATGTTAAGAGATAAAAGCTTTACTCATAAATATTTTCCAATATATTTCATTTTTTATTTGATTCATTTTTTTAAGATTTATTTATTTATTTGAAAGGCAGAGTTACAGAGAAAGGGAGACAGAGAGAGTGAAAATCTTCCATCCACTGGTTTGGTTCACTCCCCAAATGGCCACAAGGGCAAGGGCTGGGCCAGGCTGAAGCCAAAAGCCTGGAACTCTGGGTCTCCTACTTGCATAGCAGGAGCCCAAGGATTTGGGACATCTTCATCTGCCTCCCCAGGCATATTAGCAGGGAGCTGCATTGAAAGTGGAGCAGCCAGGATGTGAACCAGTACCCATATGGGATGCTGGCAGCACAGGTGGCAGCTTAACCTACTATGCCAACACCAACCCCTGTTCCATTTTAAAACCTAATACTCTAGATGCATACAATTGCCCTAATACAAATAACACATTTCTTTAAATCTGAGACAGTACTCAGTTTTTGCTGTTTTCACAAACATAGATTCATTTCAAATTGAGCTTATCATCAATTCAGACTTTTAAATCGCTTCTCAGCTTATTTTGAATGTGTTTTGTTCTTTGAATACAAGCACAACCATTTCTATTTATTGGGTTTTAATATTTATTTACCTGCTTTGATTAGATTCTGAAAAGCTATCATTTTTATTCTATCACCAAAGTGATAGGCATGCCTTCTGGGTCTTCATTTTAAGTTACTGACTAAACTTTTGACTAAGATAAAGACCCAGTATGCATCCTGTAAAAGGGCATCCTGGTCCTTAATATCTGCGTAGGAGACAAACTCAGTTCCAGCCCCCTGGCATCAGCCTGGCCCAGCCCTGGTTTTGCAGGCATTTGAAGAGTGAATCAGAAGGAAGATGAAGATCTCCATGTCTCTCTCTGCCTTTCAAATAAATTCTTTAAAATATTGCACACAATACATAAAGACTTGAGCCTATCACAAGAGGAAGGTCTTCAGTGATTCCCAATGACAGAAGAGATTAAATCAGTGTCTCTGGGTCTAAAGGGCTTTTTATCCAATAAACAAATGCCTTCCTCCCCATCAATAAGTAAATAAAACAAAAGGGGTTATAAATCAGGGATATGTGAACAATATGAATAAAGTCAGGAAAACATTCGATAACTAATTTTAAGTCTAACGTAATTTTTTAAAAAGATTTATTTATTTGAAAGTCAGAGGAGAGAGAGAGAAAGGAGAGACACAGAGAGATGTCTTCCATCTGCTAGTTCACTCCCCAAATGGCTGCAATGGCCAGGGCTGAGCTAGGCTGACCACAGGAGCTAGGAGCTTCTTCCGGGTTTCCCATTTGGGTGCAAGGGCCCAAAGACTTGGGCTATCTTCTGCTGCTTTTTCAGGCCATTAGCAGGAAGCTGGATCAGAAGCAGAGCAGGCAAGACTCGAACCATGGTGCATATGGGATGCTGGTGCTGCAGACGGCAATTTAACCTGCTGTGCCATAGCACTGGCCCCTAATGTAATACTCAATTTTATTTGGGTAAGATATTCCAAACACTTCAAACTCAATTTTGTATAATTCCTCATATTACTACTAGGCATATTCTATACAAATTCACTGAAAATATTCTAAAATAAACAGAGTTTTCTTTTAATTTACAAAAACAAAATACATCAGTTTGGCGTGACCTGTTTGGAGTGACTCTGTGGGTCCTTCCTTTTTTTTTTTTTTAGGTATTCTGGATTATTTTCTAATCCTCCTACCTCTAAAGGACAGGATGAAAGGATTTAATGCATTTCAATACTAACATTCTCAAAAGCAATTAGTAACTGCTAAAATAGCTGATTTTTATGAGTGGTATTTTTATAATATTTAAAATATATCACTTAAGGGGGCTGCACTGTGGCATTGTAGTCTAAGCCTCTGGCCATGGCTCATCCCACATGAGCACTGGTTTGTGTCTCAGCTGCTCCTCTTCTAATCCAGCTCTCTGCAATGGGAAAGCAGTAGAAGATGGCCTAGGTGGTTGGGCCCCTGCACCCAAATGGCAGACCCAGAAGAAGCTCCTGGCTCCTAGCTCCGGATCAGTCCAGCTCCAGCTGTTGAGACCATCTGGAGAGTGAACCAGTAGATGGAAGACCTTTCTCTGTCTGTAGCTCTGCCTCTCAAATAAATAAATATTTAAGAAAAAAAAAAGCCTTAAAACATTATCATTTAAAATCATCTCAGGCATTATTCAATAGGATATACTTAGGTCATTTTATAACATGTAAAATTATCTTTTTAAAATCATTTTTACTGAGATTATGGCCACCATATCATTATAAGCTATAATCTCAAAAAGTAAATGGGAATTTACAAATGTATCACCCATTACCTACTACCAGGTTCAAATGATAAAGCACAAATATGAAGTATAAATGTTCTGGAATAACCTTTCAATAATTGCCATGTAAACAAAATAAATAAATTGACAAAATGCAGAATACTTAAATATCAACCTGTCCTTCCTCTTTAGAGTACATAGATAAAATAAAAGCAAAATTTAAGCAGCTCATTACATACTTTTACTCATTTCAAACTGAGTAGACAACCATTACTTTAAAGGATCATTCAGAATTACTTAGGAAAATCCTGTTACAAACTTATTACACACACAAGAATGGGCCAAGGTTGTGGCATAGTGGGTTAAACCACCACCTGCAACAGCGGCATCCCATGTGGGTAACTGTGCCACGGCTGTTAAATGGGTGATTTAACTTTCTGCTAGTGCACGTAGGAAAGCAGCGAAAGATGGTCCAAGTGCTAGGGCCTCTGCCACCCATTTGGGAGACCCAAAAAAAAAGCTCCTGGCCCAGCCCTGGCTGTTGAAGCCATTTCAGAGTGAACCAACAGATGGAAGATCTCTTTCTCCCCATCTCTTAACTCTGACTTTCAAATAAATAAATACCCAAGAATGGCTACTTACAGTTACACTGTTCACATTCTGAAACTTGACATAACGAAGTGGAACAATGCCATCTTCTTTAATATCATCCTCTGTTAGTTCCAGAGCTTGAGTTGGTTCACTTCTTTCTGCCTCTTCAAAATCCATAGATCGGGGTAGGTTGATAAAGATTTTTACATACTTCGGACCCTGACCTATAAAATGGTAGAAAAAAATGAAATGCTAAAAACCACAAACATATTTACACCATATTATACACATATACAAACCTGCACATTAGTGTACACCTTTGTAGATGCCTACCGTTAGGATTTACAACAAAGTCTGAGTATTTTGATAGCTGATTTCCACCACCAATATACATTCATTAGTACTTTACGTGGCTAGCTAGCCCTATACCTAAGACTTGGAATATGATTATAACACACATGTACAAATGTATATATGCATATGTTCTCAACTCTAATTACTGCCACTGCCAAGAGTTGTTACATTTTATTATTTAGGAGAAAAGCATCATTAGTGACAACATTTAGTCAAAAAGGAATTCATCATGAAAGTTGCCAACTTTCATTTTAGGATTATATCAGATGTGCTCAGTATATAGAAATCAATCTATTCAATATAAGGGTATAATGTATGACTCTTATTTTGTAGCTGATTAAGGAGTACTGACTTGTTTCTACAGAATTTGCTTATACAAATACTTTCCACTTTCAGAATACAAGTACAATTTTATTAAAAGGAATTATTAATATGAAAAGTTAGAACAAATGAGGGGCTGGCTCTATGGTATAGTAGGCTAAGCCTCTGCCTGCAGTGCCAACATCCCATAAGGACACCAGTTCATGTCCTGGCTACCTCTCTTCCAATCCAGTTTGCTGACAGCCTGGGAAAGCAGTGGAAAATGGCTGAAGTGCTTGGGCCCCTGCACCCACATGGGAGACCTGGAGAAAGTTCTTGGCTCCCGGCTTTGGATCAGCCCAGCTCCGGTCATTGCAGCCATTTGGGTAGTGAACCAGCAGATTGAAGACCTCTCCCTCTGTTTCTCCCTCTGTCTTTAAATCTACCTCTCAAATTAAATAAACTAACTCTTTTAAAAAAAAGTATAGAACAAACAGGGGAGAAGAGGGGAAATGGAAGGGCAGAATAGCAGAATTCTCTTTTATAAAAAGAGAAATCTCAAATCTGTAAAATAATGTTTACATGCACAGATATAAAGATATAATATGGCATCAAAACGAAGATCTGAAGCCTTAATTTTATCATTTATAAGAGAGAGAAATAATCTCCACCAGTTTTGATTCTAAAAATGGTTTGCTTAGAACCAAGAGTTTTAGAACACTTGGAAGAATTCAACAGTTTTCACATTAACAGGAAACGATCAGAGTTTAAAATAATGTGTTTTTTTTTTTTTTTTAAAGATTTATTTATTTATTTGAAAGTCAGAGTTACACAGAGAAAGGAGAGGCAGAGAGAGAGAGGTCTTCCATCTGATGATTCACTCCCCAATTGGCTGCAACAGTCAGAACTGTGCCGATCCAAAGCCAGGAGCCAGGAGCTTCTTCCAGGTCTCCCATGTGAGTGCAGGGGCACAAGGACTTGGGCCATCTTCTACTGCTTTCCCAGGTCATTGCAGAGAGCTGGATCAGAAGAGGAGCAGCCGGGACTAGAACCGGCACCCATATGGGCTACTGTTGCGGCATTAACTTACTGAGCCACAGCGCCGGCCACTAAAATAATGTTTAGAAATGAAATAAAAGGATCCTTTCGTACTTTCGTTCTCTAACACTGTCATGTTATTTACACATTCATCGATGTTCTTGCTTTGTTCCAAAACTAATTTTACTCTTTCTCAAAACAAAGAATATCTAATTCTAATAAAAAGTTTTAAATATGTGCTAATGGGGCTGGCACTGTGGCGTAGAGGGCTAAGCCTCCACCTGAGGTGCAGGCATCCCACCTGGGTGCCGGTTTGTGTGCCTGCTGCTCCTCTTCCAATCCAGCTCTCTGCTAATGGCCTGAGAGAGCAATGGAAGATGGCCCAAGTTCTTGGGCCCTTGCACCCTCGTGGGAGACCCAGAATAAGCTCAAGTCTCCTGGCTTCAGATCAGCCTAGCTCTGGGTGTTGCAGACATTTGGGGAGTGAGTCAGCAGATAGAAGATCCTTCTCTAGGTCTTTCCCTCTCTCTGTCTATAACTTTACCTCTCAGATAAATAAACAAAATCTTTTTTAAAAAATGTGCTAACAGGTATACGAAGTGGGAAGTTAGTTCAAGGAAAAGGCGCTCTTTACTCACCATTATCTGGCCCTTGAAATTTCATGGAATAAAGCTTAACAGGTTGATTGAAAGCCACAGTAATAAGCAGCTGTGGAGAAAATCAGTTTTGTTACGAAAGAGCTTTTGTTTATCTTTTACACACAAAACACACAGAATTAAAAGAAACAGAAAAATCCAATGCATCTAACAAAAATAATGTAATATGAAAAAATCAGTAACTTCAAGGAACTAATTGATTAGACTGACATTTGAGAAAAATCACCAACAATTATTTATAAAAGAGAATGGCAAAGCAATTTTAATAGAGTAAATTTACTAGCATTGTATGTAAGAAACTAAGGACTTGAAACCTATAAACTGGCAAGCAATCCATTTTCCAACATATCAAACAAAATTCCAAAATTAAAATAAAACTTAAAGTATGCATTTTATCATACACCTTATCTAGAATGGTTATGTCAAGCAGGTATCCAGGTCACTTGACAATCTGGAGGCACTGTAGAGGTTATGCAAAGAGACTAGCCCTCTGGAGGACTCTGACCTAAAATTCAACAACAGCACCTTTACAGCTCTACAGCGACCTCCAAATCTCCATCCTAAACTTATCTGACTAACCCAATCTGAGAACAGAAACAAAACTCAGAAATGTGGAGTCACTGGCTCGATCTTCTTTCCTGCCAAAATTGTGTTTGACCTAAGTACTCAGGCTTCTCACCTGGAAGAAGGAATTTTGACAGAAGATTTTAGAGAACTATAGAAAGTTCTGATATTGCCGGCGCCGCGGCTCACTAGGCTAATCCTCCGCCTAGCGGCGCCGGCACATCCGGTTCTAGTCCCGGTCGGGGCGCCGGATTCTGTCCCGGTTGCCCCTCTTCCAGGCCAGCCCTCTGCTGTGGCCAGGGAGTGCAGTGGAGGATGGCCCAGGTGCTTGGGCCCTGCACCCCATGGGAGACCAGGAAAAGCACCTGGCTCCTAGCTCCTGCCATCGGATCAGCGTGGTACGCCGGCTGCAGCGCGCTGGCCGCGGCGGCCATTGGAGGGTGAACCAACGGCAAAGGAAGACCTTTCTCTCTGTCTCTCTCTCTGTCCACTCTGCCTGTCAAAAATAAATAAATAAATAAATAAATAAATAAATAAATAAATAAATAAATTAAAAAAAAAAAAAAAGAAAAAGAAAGTTCTGATATTTACCATCACATTTTATTGTCAGGGCATCACTTACCAGGAAAGCAATGTGAATTATATACTCTTAAGTAAGTTATATCAATAGGTGAATATGGTTAAAGAAAAATGGGATTTAAGTTTATGATTTTTAGAATCATATTGTGGTCTATCTAGCAAAATAACTAGACTTGTTCCTTTCGTTACACTAGGCTTTTTATATTTGACCCATAACTGGTTTTTTGGTTTGAGATTTATTTATTTGAAAGGCAGAGTTAGAGTTAGAGAGTTAGAATTGAGAGAGAAAGAGATAGAAGGAGAGAAGGAGACAGAGAGCTAGATCTTCCATCCGCTAGTTCACTCGCCATATGGCTGCAAAATGGCTGGAACTGGGCCGGTCTGAAGTCAGGAGCCAGGAGCTTCTTCCAGATCTCCCACGTGGGTGCAAGGACTGGCCTAAAGCACTTGGGCAATCTTCACTGCTTTCCAAGGTGCGTTAGCAGGGCATTGGATTGGAACTGGAGCAGCCGGGACTTGAACCAGTGCCCAAAGGGGATGCCAGCACTGCAGGTGTGACTTTATGCACTAAGCCACATCACTGGCCCCTTGCCCCATAATTGTGTAAAAAAGTAATAAGCACAATGGTTTAGGGAACTGAACTGCAAGTGAAAAACAGATGGCATTGGAAAGCCAGAAAGACATCAAGTCAGCAAGACACTCTTCCTGCAGCCAGTCAGAGAAGCATACAGATCTGTATTTTAGAAAAACAACTTTTGTTACTATGTACAAGATGAACTGGAACAAGCATGTATCAGAAACAAGGGAAGAGACTACATGAAAATTAACAACCAAGACAGAGATAAAGATGGCAACCACATTCTTCCTCTGTGACAAGGACAACGCTTGGAAGCAGGGGATACAACTGGAAGTGGGGATCTGGACATATAAGGAATATTTGCCTAGTTAGTCTACTTCTTAGATACAAACTAACGTGGTTGAAAAAAGAAGGGAAGGCAGGTTAAGGATGAACAAAAGGACTAAACAATGGTGACAGTTCAACTTAGCAGAGGTGGCCAATCCGAGTTTCCTTAGTACATCCAGTAGCTATTACGGAAGAGAAAGAGAATGGGTCTGTGTACTCAAAGGACAGGAGTCAAAGAAACGGAAAGGATGAAGTAATTATCCAGGAATGAGACATAAATCATGATACGGGAACATGAGAAAGTAAGAACCAGCAAATAGTGATAACCTCTGTAAATTCTGCCTTAAGTATCCAATTACCTGTTCATCACAGTCAGATTCCAAAAACGTCAGGTCTTTTCGTAAACAATTGTCAAAACCATGTTCATCACTTTCATTAAGACATTCACAGCCAGCTTTATTAATAAAAGGCATAAGATCCATCTGAAAGAAATTCAATAAAGACTTTAGGCAAAGCATTTGTATCTGGAATTAAAATGTTAAAAAATTTAAATCTGTGATTCTGTCTAATTAGGCGATTTAAAAGAAAATTTCTCTTTTAATATAATTACTAAAACTTTTAATAATTTCATTTGAGTTTCTGAAATGTACCACTAACTATTAAAGCTAAATCTAGGCTTAGCCCATTCAATGAAGTATCAAAAACCAAGTCTTTAACACTTTGATTATAAAATGATGATTTACACTTTTAGAGTAAGTGTTTACAGTGGAAAATAGGCAAACTAAAATATCTGTAAGATCCAAGAAAACGGAGTTCCTTCTCTAGTGGCCCTATACCCACAAGGGTTAGATTTAAGATGAACATCAAATAAGACTTAAAATTGTTACAGAAAAGTTCAGACATAAATAGAATAGTATAATGAGTTCTCTGTATACACCACCCCTAACTACAATAATCATCAGGCCACTTGTTTCTTCTTTACCCCAAACCACAACCTAACCCCTCCTGATTATTCTGAAGCAAATCTCAGACATCTTTTCATTTCATTCATGAACATTTTAGTGTGTACTTGTAAAAGATGAAGACTCTTAATAAAATAATTTTCAGTATCATCACAATTACAACACCTAATATTATCTAATCCTAGTGTTTTATAGTCAACTGTCTCAAAATTGTTTATAGCTGAATTCTTTGATTTATCTATTTATTTATTTGAAAGGCAGAAAGAGAGAGAGAGGGAGAAACAAAGATCTTCCATCTACTGATTCACTCTCCCAAAATGGCCCTAGCAGCTAGAGCTGGGTCTGGCTGAAACCTAGAGCCAGAAATTCCATACTGGTCTCCCACATGGGCAGCTGGGGCCCAAGTGTGTGGGCTATCTTCCACAGCCTTCCCAGGTGCATTAGCAAGGAGGCAGATCAGAAGCACAGCAACCAGGACATGAACCAGTGCTCTGGCAATGAGGCAAGCAGCATCTTAACATACTGTGCCACGATGTCAGCCCCTACAGGTGAATTGTTAAAGTAAAGATCCAAAAGAAATAAAAACACGGTATTTGGTTACTGTGTATTTTAAATCTTGTTTTAACCTGTAGATTTCTTAATACTCTCGATTTCAAAAATTGCTTCTCTGTGTGTTAGCATATGTCCTGTCTCCTACATTCTCTGTGGGCTAATACGTCAACAGTTTCAATGTAACACTAGAGTGTTATGACAGTGGTCACGCTTGAGTGGCTTTTGCTTTAGTGGGAATGCCTCTAGTCATTTCCCCATTTAGACTTTATTGAAGGCTTTAGAAATAAATAGGTATTAAATGCTGTTAAATACCTTTTCTGCATATTTGGAGACAATTTTTCACTTTAGCTCTATTAATGACAGATTATAAGCTTCCTAATAATATGAAAATTTCTTCAAAAGCTGGCTTTGCAGTGTAGTGGATAAAGCCAGTGCCCACAACATCCTACCTGGGAGTTGGTTCATGTCCCAGCTCTACTACTTTCGATCCAGCTCCCTGCTTGGGAAAAGCAGCGAAAGATGGCCCAAGTACTTGGGCCCCTGCCACCCACATGGGATACCCAGATGAATTTCCTGGCTGCTGGCTTCAGCCTGGCCCAGCCCTAGCCATTGCAGCCATCCAGGGAGCGAGCCAGTGAGTAGATTTGTCTCTACCTCTCTCTGTAACTGACTTTCAAAAAATAAATAAATCTTAAAAAAAGAAAAAAAAAGTCTTCCACGCTTGAAATAAACTCAACCTTGTACATGACGGTATTTTAAAATGTACTACTGGATTGTTGACCTTTGCTTACTAACATTTTATTCAAAATTTTTACAACAAAATCTGTAAAGTCAAACTTTTTTTTATATGGCTTTCTTCTTTGATGCATACATTGTCAGACTTTTGAGATCAATGTTGTACTAAAAAAAAAAAAAACAACTAGGAGAAATTTTTCTTTTTATTTATAGTCTTAAGTAACTGCAGTAATATTAGATGGCCTGATCTTTTAAAAGACTGGATAATTTTTACCAGGGACAAGCAGACACCAAAGCTGGAAACTTAAACAAGGCCTCCCATGTGGATGACAGGGAGCCAATTTACCTGCCATCGTCACTGCTTCCTGGGGTCTATACCAGCAGGAAGCTCAATTCAGGAATCAGAGCCAGAAACAGAACCCTGACACTCTATGGGCCATGAGTGTCTTACTCTGCATCATCACTGCTGGGCTTACTGCTCACTTCATTATATATTTAATATATATTTATATATTTACTAGCATTATATATTTAATAATACTCTAAGTCCTAAATATTTCAAAAACTTGACTGACACCTGATAAAAATGTTTTTTAATAGATTTTCACATTTACTCATAACATATGCATGAAAAGTAAACTTCTTTTTCTTAAAATTTTCTTCCTGCTTATCTCCTACCTGAGGTCAACATACTAATATACTTAGCTGATGTGTAAAGAAGTATCCCTGTGGCTAAGCAGTAGGACTATTCAGCTCATAAGACTTTTTCATGCAAATACCCTTAGTAAATAAAGGGAAAAAATCACAAATTATGTAAACATAACAGCTTACAAGTTAAATGATTTTCAAAAATTTCCAAAAGGTGTTATAATCTTAACTTAAACCACATGCTTATATTATACTCTCTAATTGGATATGTGACTTCAAATTATAGTTCAATTTTAAAATGAATACTAATTATATTTTTCTAACTTAAAATAATTAATGTTGGTATAATACATTACAGTTAAGTTCAACTTTAAAAAACAAAGAAAACAGAAAAAAATGAATCTCTCATATTTGCTTGACGATGGTTTTTCCCGGTCAGCACAATAGAAAGGCCTCCCTGAAAGGACTCAGAGCTCCAGGACCCCTGCTTTAACATAGTTCATATACAGTAAAATATTGAACCCATTTTTTTAAATGCATTCTTTCTGTTACACTACTGTAGTTTTAATGATTTGTGATTACTTTAACATTTACTGTATATGGATAGGGCCAGCGCTGTGGCATAGTAAGTTAAGCCTCCACTTGTGGTGCCAGCATCCCACATAGGCGCTGATGCCAGTCCCAGCTGTTCCATTTCTGACCTAGCTCTCTGCTTGTGACCTGGGAAAGCAGTAGAAGATGGCCCAAGTGCTTGGGCCCCTGCATCCATGTGGGAGACCCAGAAGAAGCTCCTGGCTCCTGACTGACCCAGTTCCAGCCATTGTGGCCATCTGGGGAGTGAACCAGCAATGGAAGACCTCTCTGTCTCTCCCTCTCTTTGTCTGTAACTTTGCCTCTCAAATAAATAAATCTTTAACTAAAAAAAAATTACTATATTTGGGTGAAATGGTCATCTTTCCATTCAACACTTGTTTATAGTCCCTACCTTATATTGCCCATGTTCCCACTAGAGTTTTTTTTTTTTTTTTTTGCTTTTTATTTGTTAAAACTTTTTATTTGGTAGACCATTAAGCCCTTGACTGTAATGTAAATTTGAAATGTTATCTCAAAAACTAAAAAAAGAAAGAAGAAAAAAAAAAAAAGGAAGAGGGAGGGTAGAAGGAAGACAGGAGAGGGCACCAGGGAGGGAAGGAAGGAAGGAAGGAGGGAAGAAGGGAATATCATTATAATCTTAGAATTGTTTTTATGAACTTTATTGAATCTGTTACGAAACTAAAAATAAGAAATAAAAAATACGTTGCACTGTAAAAAAAAAAAAAAAAAAAAAAAAACAGGTGCAATGAGAAAAATTCATTCTTTGATCTTCCATTCCATGAACTTTGTATTTTAGCATGTAGGATCTGCCAATTTGCATAAACAAATCATGATGGGCTGAATCTGAATTTTTTTTTTTGAGATGTGTTTTTTGAAAGGCAGAGTGTCACAGAGAGACAGTGAGACAGAGAGATATCTTCCATCTGCTGATTCATTTCCCAAATGCCTTGCAACAGCTGGAGCTGGGCTGAAGTCAACAGCCCAAAATTTCATCTGGGTCTATAACAAGAGTAGAAGAGATCCCAGTACTTGGGGCCATCATCTACTGCATTCTGAAGGGCATTAGCAAGAAGCTGGACCAGAAGCAGAAAAGCTGGGACTCAGGCTCCCTCTAATATGGGATTTGGGTGTCCTAAACCCAGATAATCAGCTGCCTCTAAAACAAAACCATAACTAGGTCTTTTAAAAAACAGAGTGCCAGAAAAGGGGGGATATATTTAAGATAGAGACAACTATAGGAAGTGAGTGGTAGCAAAGGGAATATGGTATATAATAGTCATTTCACATAAATTTCAAAAAGTGAAACTTTCCCAATGCACATTTCTTCACTTTGGGGGAGAAAATATAAACAATAATTTTAAAATGACTGTCAAATAGTTCAGAAAATAGATTTCTAAAAAGCAGCAAAGAAAAATTCAGAAAAATTGGTTTCTGATGGGGCTTAAGGTAGTAACAACACAAAAGTCAACAGTCAACTGTTTTGAATGTTTTTTCAAAATACTCTGAATAAAGATAAAAAATATTTTAAAAGGATAAAAATAAAGAAAGAGATCAAGCGAGAAACTGTAGTCCTTTCTTTTTAACCAAACAATGAAAAAGGCAAGCTATTCTCTCATGATCCCACCGTTCAGTCTACATACATAGCCTTTTGGAATATCTGTGTCCTCATTGCTTCCAGGGTCATTTTCTAAATGCTGCTTGATTTTTTCTTCTAGTCCCACAGCATCTGCTCCTTGATACTGATCAATTCTCACTTTGTTTCGAAAAAACAAAAATGTAGGTGTTGCTGATATATTGTTGGTGGCAGCTGTTCCCTAGAATTGGCAAGTTAAACAGTGTTACCAATGAAAACAAACGTTGAGTCACTTTGAATATTCATTCTGTATATTTATAGAATTAAATATCAAAACCGTAAACTAAAAACAGTCTTCATAATTGTTATTTAAGAAAAAGCAGGCTTATCCCTGAGAGCTCACCTTAGGGTATAGCAAAATTAATTATCCCATATCCACAATGAAGAATGACCCTACACTTTTATGATTTTTATTGTTAACTGCTTCATCCAGTGAAATAACTAGTTTCCGATACAGAAATTGTGCTTCACACCAGACCCATTTGAAAACCAAGAGCCAATCTCCCCATGAATTTCTCCTATAAAAATGACTTGTCGTTTCCTATCAAACATACTGCAACAAACATCTTTCTAAATATTGCCTTAACCCCACAATTTTATAAGACTACTCAAAGGAAACTAGCTAATAACCATCATGGTTTAAACTTTCATGACAATACTAAAAAAAAAATTAAAACAAATTTGCCACCTTACATATTCATATACAATGAAGATGATTACTATATTATCCTAAAAAAAATATAGGGATGTCTTCTCTAAACTTTGTAAGTGAAAAACCAATAACTGACCTTTTGAAACAAAGAGGTCCAAAAGAAATACAAGGAATATTTTAACTTTTCTAGTATCCATAATAAAAAAGAAACAAGTAAAATCAATTTTAATATATTCTAGTGAACCCAATAAATTCATTTTTAGCATCAACAAAACAATACGAAATATTTCATTTTTTCTTTCATAATAAGTCTTCAAAATCCATTATGTATTTTACACTTTCAGCTCATCTCAATTTGGATTTGCCAAACTTCAAGTGTTCAATTAACACATAACAGTTAGTGTCTACCATATCAGACATTATAGCTCCAGGAGAAAACACTTTGAGATCAGAGACAGTGAATTCTGTACTTAATATAAAGGCAAGTGATGCAGTCTAACAACACGTGACATAAAAACTTAAAACATGTACTGTAGGGTTTATGCCAAATCCCCAACTACAAACTTCCTAATATTGTAAAAATTTTCCACATTCAAAAATTTATCAAAGGTAAAGCCTCATCCAAAAAAGTTACAGTGTTGCACAGCTGTTCCTTAGTCAGAATTAATGACTATTTAGTGTAGAAAGGCACTTTGCAAAATTCCTTTTTCCTTAACAATGCCTACATATGCAAAGAGAGAACTATCACACAGTCATTTCAATTTAAGTCATCAGGGCAATTTTGCTACAACAATGCGGTTCAATCAACAGTAATGGACATTTTAAAGTTTCTACTGAGTATATATATTTGAGGTGAGATTCTAACCTGATCAATATAAACTATACCAAAGAATTCCTTGCCATAGCTTTATAATCAGTAGGAAGATATATAATTCTAGATTTGCAAAAGATAAAGAAATGTAAAACCAGATGACCTATAAATGGTATATTAATCACAATATTAATTGCACATCCGAGAAAATATTAGTCCAAACCTGAAACAGTAATGTGCTACCCTTCTTAAATAAGGTAGCCAAAATAAATCTGTAGTATCATGTCAACATAACATTTTCCTATCTTCAAAAGTATACTAGTTTTCATGTACATTAAGAGATAAATCAAAGGTGACATTTATGTTGGATTTCAAACAGATTTGAAAGTAAATTTAAAATAAAAAGAGGACTCTTCCCTTACCTGACACTGATGTACATCTACTTCCAAGAAAACAGCTTGAGGATATTTATTACTCATAGAACTGAATGCTGGGGCAATCCTCAAACATGGTCCACAGCTGTCAGAAAGAGAAGATACAGTAAAATAACATGAAGAACACTCATTATACTCTAAAGCATAATTGCCAAGTTAAACATAAAACACTGATATTCCCAGTATCAGATTCTCTAGTCTTCTCCATAGGAGTATTTATATGCACTAGTATCAACACCACATTGTCTTATTTAGTATAGATACCGCACTGTCTTCATGTCTAATAGTGTTAGGTCTTCTAGCTTTTTTTTCTCACAAGGAGAAATTTTAAAAAATCTAAATAAATGGAGGGATACACTACAATTATAAGTTACAAAACTCAATGTCGCCAAGAGACTCATTCTCTTCAATTTGATCTTCAGAGTTGCTGTAAAATTCCAGATTTTCTTGTAGAAATCAACAAATTCTAAATTCTAAAATTTATAGAGAAATATCAAGGATAATGCAAGCCCTTCTGAGGTTCAAAACTGAAGAAATTACACTATAAACCAATATGAACTATTATAAAGCTTTCTTAATTAGGAGCATTTCCAGCATCAGTACAGATTAAGGAACTGTAATCAGAAAGTCCAAAACATTTTTAAGTGCTGACATGATTTCAAAGCATTTTGGATTTCAGATTTTTGGATTAGCGATTTGCAACTAGAAAAGTCTATGCAAATATTCTGAAATCCCAAAACTCTGAAGCCTGAAACACTTCTGGTCCCATTCATTTTGGGTAACAGATACTCAACATATCCAAGGATAAACAGACTAATGTAAAAAACAATAGAGTTCAGAAACAAACCCATCTCAAAGGGGTCACTGCAGGGGAGCAGACTGGGGCTTCCAAGGGCACTGTGGCAGGGCAAGGCTGGGGCAGTGGCAGAAGGAGTGGAGATGGAACCCAGGGAGGTGGAGAAGAGGCGAGGGGAGGCAGAGGGCAGCCCTGGGAAAAGGGACAGTGCAACAGGACGGGGAAGGGGTCAGACTCAGGGATTTTTCTGCAAAGGGATCCTTCTGCTGCCAGCACCAAACAGAGCAGAATAGATGCCTAAGAATTCATAAATCGTTTGGATTGATTTACTGGAGTGGATGATTCAATCACATAAGTCATCCAGCAATTATACTTTAATGGGTATTATTAAAAGATAAAGTATTAATTTCTAAAAGAAAGAAAGCAACAAACACATCCTACACGGAGTAACCCAATTTATGAAAAACCTGACAGCAGTGCTGTGGGGAAAAGATGGTGTTTTCAATAGTGTTCAATCAACTGGATATTTATGTCAGAAAAAAATTATCATGACCCTGTATCTCACACTATACACAAAAACTAATCACAGATGGGTAATATAAATATAAAAGGTAAAATCAGCCTTTTAGTAAAAAAAAAATACTTTAAAACTTTGTAAGAAGCAAAGATTTTTTAAACAGTATACAAAAAGCACTAGACAACAAGAAAAGGATTAACATACAGGAATATATTTTATAAACTATAATATATTAAAATTAAAATTTTCGGCTGGCACCGCGGCTCACTTGACTAATCCTCCTCCTGCAGCACCAGCACCCTGGGTTCTAGTCCCGGTTGCTCCTCTTCCAGTCCCGGGAGGGCAGTGGAGGATGGCCCAGGTGCTTGGGCCCTGCAACCACATGGGAGACCAGGAGGAAGCACCTGGCTCCTGGCTTTGGATCGGCACAGTGTGCCAGCCGTAACGGCCATTTAGGGGGTGAACCAACAGAGGGAAGACCTTTCTTTCTCTCTCTCTCTCACTGTCTAATTCTGCCTGTCAAAAAAAAAATTTTAAATTTTCATCATCAAATGAATTCATAAAAAGAGTGGAAAAAAGTACATGCAAAACTTATCATACCACTATGGTTCAAACAGGATATGGCCTCCAAACTCATTTAAACATTTTTAAAGTTTAAACCCCAAAATCCTCCGTTAACAGCACTAAAATGGTAGAGATTTAATTCAATTATGGCATCTAAGAGGTGGGCCTGGTGGGAGACCCTAGGTCATGGGAACATCTCGCTGGAAGATAATTCTCACAAGAGAAGCCTGAGTCAGGCATGGATGCTTTCTCTGCTTCCCTATCTCACCATGTTCTTGTTCCTCTGCACAAAGCCCTCTACTGCCAGCCTCCAACTTCACCAGATGACTGGACCAATGGGGCCCACCCAATCTTGGCCATGAACCTCCAAAACCATGAGCCAAAATAAACCTCTTCTCTCTAAAGTAGGTTGCTTTAGATGGTTTGTTTTAGTAACAAAAAGTTAACATAGAACTTATACCTCCAATACGTAAAGAACCCCTATAATCAGTAAGAACAGAACTGACACCCAAAAGAAAAATGAATAAACTCTTGGAACAGATACCCAATATATGATGTTATCCAAACAGTCAATACAAATGAGAAAGATGTTCCACTTCATTAGTCAATAGGGAAATCATGGAAATCCAAAACCATCTCAACCAAAATAGCTACAAAAAAGAAAAGTACCAACAAGCATGTGAAGCAACTGAACTTTTCATATATTGTGACAGGGCACACTAGTGTAACTAGTTGGGAGGAGAGGTATGAGGAGTATCTGCTAAATAGACATGCCTACCTATATATATTTTATATATATATATATACACACCTATATAAACACATACCTATTTGTATACCTACACATATCCAACAGACATGCTCACCTTAGGACATCTAAACAGTAACATTTCTAATAGCCAAAGCTATAAACTATTTATCTTCTTATCAACAATAGAATGGTTAATTAATCACAATTATTCAGACTACACAACAATGCAAAAGACTGCTGTAAAACCTCATGTAGTGGTTTTATATATTGTAGCACAGTGAGTTATGTTGCATCCTGCAACACTGGCATCATCTTGTATTAGCGCTGGTTTGAGTCCTAGATATTCCACTTCCAATCCAGGTCCCTGCTAAAGGAGCCCGGGAAAACAGCAAGGATGACTCAAGTTCTTGGGGCCCTGCTATCCATGTGGGACACAAAGATGGAGACACATCCTGGCTTTGGCCTGGTCCAGTCCATGCTATAGTGGCCATTTAGGGAGTGAACCAGCAGATGGAAAATCTTTTTGTCTCTCTGCCTTTCAAACAAATCTTTTAAAGAAGCAGCAGCAGCAATATTTATGGTTAAATAAAACTATTACTTTAAACTTTATAAATGGGAATATAATTTGATGCATCATTTTTAAAGGTTCACTGGGTCATATCTTTACACTTTAAAAAAAGAACACAACCCAAAACCCAAAAATTTCACTTCTAAAAAAAAGCCTAGGGGCCTGTACCATGCCAAAGTGGGTTAAAGCCCCAGCCTGCAGCACCAGCATCCCACCCATATGGGCGCCAGTTGAGTCCCTCTGATTCAGCTCCCTGCTGGTGCGCCTGGGAAAGCAGAAGATGACCCAAGTCCTTGGGCCTCTGCACCCACATGGGAGACTGGAAGAGGCTCCTGGCTCTTGGCTTTGGATCGGCCCAGCTCCAACCGTTGTGACAGCTTGATGAGTGAACCAGCACCTGGAAGATCACTCTCTATGCGTCTCCTTCTCTCTCTCTAAACTCTGTCTCCAAATAAATACATAAATATTAAAAACATAAATGTTTATTCAATTTCACAATATAGAAGAAAATTAAGGGTGGCAAGTTCATAACAACAAAAATTTAAAAACATCTAAATGATAGTCCCCAGAAAAATGTTTAAAAATTATGACAATCTATACCAGGTCATAATTTGTACTACTGGGGGGAAGGGTTGAATAAGTCTTGTGATAAAATGTTCCCTATATCCAAAATTTTAAAAAACTTTTATTTATCTGAAAGTAAGAGAGAAACAGAGAAATCAATCTTCCATCTGCTAGCTCACTCCCCAAATCCCCATAAGCCCACAACAGCCAGAGCTGAGCCAGGTCAAATGCAGGAACACAGAATTCAATCCAGTCTCCCTCGTGGATGGCAGGGCAATCCAACCACCTGAGACATCACCTGCTGATTCCCAGGATGCACATTAGCAGTAAGCTGGAATCAGAAACAGAGGCTGGGACTCAACCCAGGCACTCCAATATTGGATACGGGCATCCCAAACGGCATAACTGTTGTGCCTACCCTTCTATGACCACATTTTTAAATTACATATATATGGAAAAATCTATTAGGCAGAACACAATAGTTAATGTCAACTACTTTTGCAAAGTGGGATTGGAAAAAGAAAGAGTTGACAGGAGGCTTTTTAAAATATTCATGTCCTTGGGGCCAGCGTTGTGGTGTAGCAGGTAAAGCTGCTACCTGTGACACTGCATCCCATCTGGGCACCAGTTCAAGTCCCTGTTGCTCTACTTCTGATCCAGCTCCCTGTTAAATGGCCTGGAAAAAGCAGGAGATGACCCAAGTGTTTGGGCCTCTGCCACCCATATGGGAGACCCATGACCCCACATGGAGGTCACCCTCCACAGCTTTCCCAGGCACATCAGCAGACAGTCGGCTAGGACGTGGAGCAGCCAGGACTGGAACTGGCAGCCACATGGGATGTGGGCACCACAGGCAGAGGCCCCACTGCTATGCCACAGTGCTGGCCCCACAAAATAAATTCTATTTCATGAACTCGCTTACTGTTCTTCCCTATTTGCTAATGGCCAGTGCTTTGTCTTGAGAAAAAACTTGTGTAAACACATACAGATTTTAAATGGAAATAGAAAACTTATGTGTTTTCCATTTTTTTAAAGATGTTATTTTTATTTAATTGAAAGGCAGTTACAGGGCTGGTTCTGTGGTATAGCGGGTAAAGCCACCACCTGCAATGCTGGCATCCCATATGGACGCCGGTTGAAGTCCCAGCTGCCGCATTTCCAATCCAGCTTTCTGCTATGGCCTGGGAAAGTAGAAGAAGATGGCCAAAACACTTGGGTGTTTCGTGAGAGACCTGGGAAAAACTCCTGGCTCCTGGCTTTGGATTGGTGCAGCTCTGGCCATTGAAGCCAACTGGAGAGTGAAGCAGTAGATGGAAGAGCTCTCT